TCATGCACCTGGCTTTCGTGGCGTCCGGGTCAGTCTCGACAACAAAGGTCCCCCCGCACTGCCGCGTTCTCCCCGAAGAATCTGTAGAGAGGTTGCCGACGACTCCGATTTCCACGCTCTCCTCCTCCATGCACGCTGTCACGAAACCGTCTCTGGATACAGCGTGGAGCTGGTCGCAGCTCAGGCCCTCGTCCCGCCCCTGCACCGCCGGGTCAGAGGTCGCCCTCGGGCACGATGGCGTAAGGCAGCCTATCTTCTTTTTGGCCCAGGGCGGGGTCGGCTCGTAGTACTCCTCGCACGCGGCATAGCATGCCGCCATGGTGGGGCGCCACGTCACGTCCCGCCCGGTGGAGACGAACCGGTTGTTGATGTTGTTCGCGCAGAGCACCAGCTCCGTTCGCGACGACGCCACTTCGTAGCAAGAGTTGAGAGGGTCGGACGGCGGCGACGGCAGCGCCGGCGGCGCTGGCGGGAACGCTGGCGGCGCTGGCAGCGCCGGCGGCGCCGGCGGGATCGATGGCGGCGACGGCAGCGAAGGCGGAAAAGACGGCGTCGGGGGCGGAGGGGGCGGAGAGATGGGCGGAGGCAGAGCCGTCGCGGCAGGCAGCAGGGCCTTGAAGACGAGCGCGGCTGTGCCGCCGTCGCCCATGCCGACGACCACGAGGAAAGCGATGAAGATGCTGAGCAGGTGGGGCTGGCAGAGGCGGCCAGGGCCGCAGCGCGGCGAGTCGAGCGAGGGCTTCTTGGCCCGCTTCTTGGGCGAGAGGGGCGTGCCCTGAGCGGGCAGGCGGGGCGCAGAGCGAGTCGGGCGCCGTCTGCCAGGCGCATTGAGGTCTTCAGCAGGGAGGAGGAGCGCGCACCGAGGGCGTGTAGGGCGGCGAGTCGGAGCCGTCGGACGCCTCGCCGCACGCCTTGCCGCCGTCGCCCCCGGTCCCCTCCTCCGCGCCGGAGAGGGCCCCAAACTGGTTGGCGCCGCCGACCTTGCTTGCGGCCTTGGAGGAGTCCATCTTGGACTCAGGCTTGCGCTCGTTCACGAGCGGGTTCGTTGTCCAGTCGCCCTGTGGCGGCGCGCGGAGAGAGAAACTGCGTGAGGGGGGTGGGGGTGAGGGAGAGGCTGCAAGAAAGATCTCGCCGCCGAGCGCGCCTCGTCCTCCGTGGCCTCCGCCGCCTTCAGGTGTTCTTGTTCGCGGCGATTTGCTGGAGTATCGTTGGCGAAGGGTGCTTGGTGGGGCGAGACCATCATTCGCTGACCCTCAAGATGCACCTTCGAGCACCGTCGTGAGCGAGCGGCAGCGTCGATCAACATGGGCGCCCCACAACGCGATGCGCCTGGCGGCAGGGCGGCCGGGCGAGGGTGAGCGGCAGCGGGCGACGAGAACCACGGGCGGTGGTCGGGACAGATGGGCGAGGCACTGCTCGCGAAAGGCAGTGGGTGGCGCTCGCTTTCTTCATCATCTCGTCACGCGGACCGACAGCGGGCATCGGCGTCCCAATTCGGCGGCAATCGCTTTTCTTTTTTGCTTTAGAGCCTTCTGTTCTTGTTTCGTATTCGCTTTCTCTTTTAAGCCTCCCTCTTGACCGCGCAAGATAAAAGGGTGCAAAAACCACGGAACGTGAGACGAAGAACGGTGGCAAGGGCGATCCAGCGCTTCCTTCGATTGGACGGACGAAATGAATCGGGAACAGCGGGACCGCCATCGTTCGTGTCGCGGGGCAGGTTTCCGTATGGATGGCATTGGAAGCCCGAGGGTTGCGGAAGGCGCGCGGCGGGGGTCGGCTTCGGGGTGCCGACCGCCGCCACCGGGGGCCGCCGCGCCGTAGAGCGGCCCGCCGGTCTTCCTACCGGCGGTGCACGCGGCCGCGCTCGGAGGCGCTCGTTGTCGTTGAGCGGGCTGTAGCCGCGCGTGCACAGCAGCTCACCGTGATAGCGCTTGAGCAGATCATCCGGCCGGCAGACCACGTACCGCTGCTGCTTTTCGTCCCACTTCTTCCCGAGCCACCCAGGCGGCTCCTTGCCCGGGCTGCCGTCGACGCGCTTGAGCGTCGTCATCCATTCCGGCCGGAGCTCAGCGCACGCGGCGCACCGCCGTGGAACTGCGAGGGCTTGCTGCTGCTTCTCCCACTTGCTCGCGAGGAGGTCGAACCGATCGCAAAAGTAGGCCTCCTCCGACCATCCACCCTCGCGCTCGTAGCCAAACAGCTCCGCGTTGTCCCGTCGTGTGGTTGGAGTACGGGGGGATGTTTCGCGCGACCTCCCGGCCGAGCAGGTGGTGACGAACCTCGCCGCCGTGGGCGATCCCGCCAAGGTGGTGGAGCACTGAGGGCTCGAGCGCCTCTCCCGCTGCCGGCGGCTGACCGGCCAGCCTGGCTGCGACGGCTGCGATCAGCGGTGGAGAGGACTGTGTGGTGTGATCCCTGCTCCGGTGAGCTCTGCGAGGGGTGGGTGAGGCTGGGTCGAGACGCGTGCCGCGACTGAGCACTGCGCTCTGCTGCGCGGCGCCGCGTTGCGGCACCTCACCCCGCCTCCCACGCGAACGCGTGCGCCCTCCCCGGCCCTCGCCACTCTTTTGCACGGGACGGAGAGGATACTTCGCACTCTGGTTCCGTGCTGTAGAGCCTACTGTATACTTGATGCAGAGCTTTCCGACGTCATTTTGTTCGCCGCTCCGCTCTCGGCGCCCGCCGCCGCGCGCGCCGCCCGCGCGCCACCCCTTTTGCGCAGCAACACCTTAAACTTCATGGCCCTCCAAATTCGGGTCGGAGCGTAGCGGAGTGCCGCCGAGCCACAGATGAGGACGCGGGAGCGCTACGAGATCTCGTCGTCAGGGCGCGCGCCGCGAGGCCCTCCCCCCTGAACCTTCTCGGAATTTCCCCTCCACAGGACCTCGAGGAGCTCGCTTCGCTCAGCGCAGGCGACGTCGCGCCGGGTCAGCAGGCGTACTGGCTGCGCGCCCAGTTCGAGACGGGCGCGCTGCCGCGCGACCCGCTCTTTGTGCGCAACCTCGTCGAGCAGGCGCGCAGAGACCCGCGAATCGTCTCGCGGCTGGTGGCAGACATGGCGGCGAACACGGGCGGCGCGCCGCCCGCTGTCGAGCCTGGCCCCGACGGGGCCGACGACCCCGCGGGCGCCGTTTGACTCAGCTCATTCTGTGCGCGATCCACGCCGCGATGTAGATATCAGGGCCTAGAGCTCCCGCTGTGTGTTTTGGAATTGTCGGCATGTGTGCTTCTCGTGGGTTTTCTGCTTTTTCTCCTTGAGAGCACGGGTACGTTCTACTCGACCGCGGCAATGAAACAGGTCTCAGCTCTCTCACTCAGAGAACTCACACTGACACACACTCTCTCAGACTCAGTCAAACCCCGTCCATGAGAGGAGAGATGGCAGATGGGATTTAGCTTTTAAAGGTGAAGGTCATGTGTCCCCGCCCTGCACGATCCGCTTGCTGTGAAAGTCTTCAAAACCCACGTGCCACATCTCCTAGAGAGGTGTCCGTTTTTGTTGTTTCATCTTTTTGTAAACTCCGTCTCAGGGAGAGAGTCCCCAGAGTGCAGAGAGACGGACACGGTCAGCACACTGTTTAAAAAGGATGTCCATTCGTTTCAGCCCAACTGAAGCCCTCTCTTACGGCTTTAAGCCGCTACATTCCCTCACAGTCTCACTCTCACTCGCCCATCTCACGAGACTCTTGATGCCTTGCGGAGCGCTTCGACTTCTTCGTCGGCCGAGGTCTTTTTCTCGCGTCATATGCCGTGGTCTGTGGTTGTCCTCTCTCAGTGCGCCTGACACGGCAAGTTCAGCCCTGGAAGAGCGTCTCCATAAAGGTCGACGTCGAGCCGGAGCCGCCGCATGGGTCGAGGACCGCAAGGCCTCCGAAGACGAGGTCGGCTGGGGTCGAGTAGGGTACGCCCGGGATCTCGCCGTGCGGGCCACCGTCCTGAAAGCCTTGCAGCGCATTCCCGACGACGATGCACGCGATCTCATTGGCGGTGAAGGTGATCTCGTCCTCGCCGCTGTCGGTGTCGTTGTACTCGCCAGGCCGCCGTTGCGCGGAGCGTTGGTTGGCGAATTGCGCGTGGGTCTCCAGGTTGGCGCGGTCTTCCGTGCTCCAGTTGCTTTCGATTCGGAGGAGATCCAGCTGTCCCTCATAGAATCGCGTGTAGCGCTTCATGCGGGCAAACGCCTCGTACTTGGGTAGCGCGTTGAAGGCAGCGGAGCCATCGATCATGCGCGGGTCGACGATGAGCTCGAGGACCTCCTCCGTCGCGCCCGGGTACATGACATTTTCAAAGTGGCGCCACGACTCGACGTGCGTCTGCCAGGCGGCTGGCGAGGAGAAGGTAAATCCTCCGCAATGCTGGCAGAGCGTCTCGGGAAAGGGGTGGGCGATCCACACGTCGCTGCGGCGTTCGAGCGGGGGAAGCGCGGCCTCGCGACTCGGGTGGCAGCGGTACTGCGCCTGCCCATCCACCGTCCGCCAGCGTGGAAACTTTGCGGAGTGGTAGTCGGCGGGGTAGAAGGTTGCCTCGGAGCCGAAGAGACCGCGCTGCTGCTCCCACGGCAGACCCTTGAGAGCCGCGTGCCGCTCACTTACAGCTGCCGCTGTGTATGGCGTCAAGTACTCGGCGACCCAGCCGCCACTCGGACCATCGTACTCGGGCGCCAGCACGGACTGGAGGAACCCGAGGTGGTCAGAGGTTTTTTCGCGCATGGCGTCTTCCGAGTCAACGGCGCTGTACTCGCTGCGAATCTTGTCGACGTGGCGTGACCAGCACTCGTCCGAGCGTCCGACAGTCTTGCAGTCTTTGCTGACGCACGTGAATCGTGCGAGGTCCTCGGGTCCGAGTCGGTTGAGCACGCTCTTGACGTCGTCGTTGCCGAGATCGGACCACATGTGTCGTTATGGGCGTGAGGGCTGGTGTGAGGGCTGGCGTGAGTGGCTGACCGAACGTTTTTCTTTTCTACATCACCAAAGAAGAGAAAGCGAAAACAGTTTCTCACTCAGCTGGAGACTTGGGGCCTGTCCGACTGCCCAGCAAGGCCCGATACTCCTCCTTGAGCGTCTCGCTCGCGAGTACTCATGCATGACACTAACTAGGTGACACTGAGGGCCCAACTTGAGAATCGTGCTTTTTTGGGTTAGGGTGAAGGCGAAGGACCGATTACGGTGAAGGACCGCAGGTTAGGGACCGATCGCCGCCGCTCACGCCAGCGGACGGTCGTCGTCAGTGATGTTAGCTACGCCACCGTCTACCTCGTGCGAGATGCGCTCGCCGGCATCGAGCGAGCAACGTGTTGGACCGACCGGCTTGCTGTGCGGACGGCTTCTTGTGGCTCTCGTCGAGAGCGTTTTGCGGCCCGGCGGGTGGGAGAACATGTGTCGTTTGATGTGTCACTGTGTACGTCATGTCAGTCTTGATAACAAGTACGGTCGATCCGTCAAAGCGATACAATCGTCACGATCACGTTGACGGCTGGCACTCTGCCTTGGCGCGTGGCTTGAGCATCCCCAGCGTCGGCTCCGCCGTTAAGCCAGCGCGCAAGGCGTGGGCCGCGAGTTTGCGGAGGCCAGTTCTTAGAAGCCTCCCTGGCGGCCGAGCCTGCGGTTCCCCCTTCGATGGAGGAGGCGGCGCCCAATGCCATGGAGGACGATGACGTCCTCAGCGAGGTGATGCTCGCACTCGCGAAGGGCTGCAACGCGGAGGAGTGGCTGCTCGCGTTTCTGTCGGCCAGTGGAGTGTGCCGTCGTTTCCACGATTGCGCGAGCCTGCCGCACGTCTGGGAGGCCGCGTGCGCTGTCCGCTGGTGCGGCCATCTGAAACGGCGGGAGTGGATGCTCGCCGGAGCAGAGGACCCTGGCGGCTGGATGGCGCAGTACCGGAGGCGGGAGGCTGAGCGCATCAAAGAGTATCCGGTGTTCTTCATGGGGGGCGCGATGACGCTGGCGCGTCCGGTTGGCCTCCACTTCTTCGAGCCGAGGTATCGCCGCCTGATTGCGATCGCAATGGAGACGGACGCAAAGTTTGTGTTTGCGCCCGAGGCGCCTCACGCCGGCCAGGTGAGCATGCTGAGCCTGCTGGCGGGGAGAGGGAGAGGAGAGTAGAGATGCACCCCGCTCCACACGCTTGTCCGCCGCCAGGTCGCCTGGCTTTGCGAGTGCCACAACGTGGTTCGGTACCCGGACGGCCGCGCCGACCTGTACGTGCTCCCGACGGCGCGGTGCCACGTGCGGCACGCGAGGCAGGAGCGGTTCGACGCGCGCTACCCGAGCCTGCACTATGCGGTCGCGGAGGTGCTGCCGGTGCAGTACTCGGCCGCCTTCACCAACCTGGCGCTCGACGCCGAGGCGCAGGAGGGAGTCATCGGCAGCTCTGCTCGCGGCCGGGGGGGTGAGGAGGTGGAGGGAGCGTCGCTCGGAGCCAGCTCGGAGTCTTCCCGTAGGCGCGCTGCTAGACGGGGTGCGCGCGAAGCTCGAGGCGCTCGCGCGCGGCATGCGCGCGTCTGGGGAGGAGGAGGGCGAGGAGGGCGAGGAGGACGAGGACTACGACGACGACGACGACGACGAGGAGGAGGCGGAGGAGGAGGAGGAGGAGGAGGGAGCGGAGAAGGAGGGGTAGTCGGGAGATGAGTTTAGGGAACGACTACGCTCCCCTCCGGTGGCGCAGCAGACGCGAGCGAGCAGCTAGTGTGCATCGTCGCTCGCTATTGTGTATCATAGGAGGCGCAGCCGGTGTGTACGATGGTGGGAGGGAGGCCCCCTCTCCGGCTGTGTGAACAGTGTCAAGTGTGTCTGAGCACTGATGCCTCGAGGAAGGAGCCGGGGTGGTTGGGACGGTGTGCGTGATGTGCGTGATGAGAAAATTCGGGCATCCTGTGTGCCCTTGTTTGCGTTTTTTTGGAGCACTTGTTTATGTTTTGCTGGCGAATTCTTCTCCCGCGCGGCGATATCAGTTCAACACTTGTGAGCGTCCCTCTCCATTCCTACAACATGCACATGCCCACATGTGCACATGTCCATGTGCACAACATGCATGTGCATGTGCATGTGCATGTGCATGTGCATGTGCATGTGCATGTAGCGCGCGGTGCACGCACGACGCAGCGGTCTAAAGTGTGGGCGTGTGAGAGAGTTGTGTTGGCGTGTGTGAGACTGTGGCGATGATGACGAAGCACACACGACACGGCCGGCCTCCAAACGCACGAGTATCAGGGGTATGCCTGATACCCTGACACCCTCCATACCCGGGGTCGTTGCACGTTGGGGAGAGAGAGACAGAGATTGAGTGATTTCTTGTCGTTGGCCTCGACACGGCTCACGTAAAAAACTGTCAGCAGTTCACCGAAAAGGCCACAACCGTTGTCATTGAGAAGAAAATACGTGCCATGGGGCGCTGGAAAGAAAGAAAGAAAACAGACAACCCAAGGGAGGGATGGGAAAGAAAGAAAACAGACAACCCAAGGGAGGGATGGGAGGACGGCACGCCGCCACCACACAGGGATTTTAAGGAGAGGAGTGTGGTGTTAGCCCTCGCCCACCCTAACCCTTGGTCGTCTGCCTCTAGTCTTTCTATCTCCCTTCGCAGTCCCTCGCCGATTCTCGCTGCAACCCTCTCATACGCTGAAAATTCTTTTCGGCGGCGATCGGCCACACTTTCCTCGCACTGCTCGCACTGTGTTTGTTTGTGTGGGCTTGCCACCGCGGATATCCGCTCGGCCGAGGTAGCAGTGGCCCAGGCAGCCCTTCGCCGTGCCGCCACGGGCGGTTGCGCGGCGGTTCGAGTGCCTCGAGACGACTCGAAAACGATCTGTGTCGTCCGATTTCGCGTCGCGATCGACCGTCTCCCTGTGCGGCTCTCTCAGCGTGTCGTCGAGCAGAGGCGGCCGAGCGCATCCGAGAAACCGCCCTCTCGCGCTCGAGAGGCGCCACCGCCGGCCCAACCGTGCTGTGCCGGTCGGCTGCGGCGCCGGAGACACCGGGAGCGCCTCACGAGCGGCGCGCACGACCCGTGCGCCTCTTCTCGCGTGCCGTCACCCCTTCTCGCTCGCCTCGCCGCGCCACCTTCTGCTGCTGCAATGGCAAGATCGGCTGTTGACGGGATCCGCCGCCGGCGGGCCCTCCAGTGTGCTCGCCGTGTGCTCGCCGTTCGTGCGAGCTCGAGGCGCCGCCCTTTTTCGTGCCGGCCGTGTGTCACCTCTGCTCGCGTGCACCAGTCGTACACATGTAATCTGAGAGGAGTGCGTGGCGGTGCGCGAAGGCTTTTTGGTGACGTAAAGAGCAAACCGGCTTCCGAATCCACACCTCGCCGACGGCACGCCCAGTTGTATGCTCGACTACGCATGCATGCCGTGGTGAGAGAGAGACCGAGATACGGCTCCGGTTGTCGTGGTATGTGGCGTGGCGGTGGTTTGCGAAACAAAACGGATGCGAGGATGCACGCAGAGCGCGACACGGGCCTCGCGTCCGAGCGCAAGTCGACGAGTGGGAGCCGAGATCACTGCTCGTGGTGCGCACACGCCGCGCAGCTGCGGGTTGTAACTCGATTGACAATCGCGCGTGCGGGATGAAAATGGAGCCGATTGGCGCTAGTGCACGGCGGCACTACCTAGTGCCTCTGGGGGAAAGGAGGAGGAGCCCTCAATAGACGGACTGAGATCGCTGGGCTGGATCCATATGGGGGTGCCGCACAACCTGAAGCGGAGGCACCCGTGTATACTCCACACCTCTCCGCGCCGAAGTATTGAGCCACCGCGGTCAACAGCATGCAGCACATGAGGGGATCGCATGCTGCGGACGGATACGCGTGCCGAGTCGATGCGCCCGTGGATGATGCACTGCGCGGCTGCGAGCGGAGCGGCGCGCCTAGCGCGAGCGTGCGCAGAGTTGGGATGGAGAGCTCTCGCGTCGCGATCTCAGGGTCGCGAGGGGTCGGCCTAAGCTACCTGCACGCGCCGCGAGCCCGGAGGCTGCACGAGAACCCGCGCGGCGAGATGTCTGGAGCCCGGAGCGCCGGCGGCTCGACGAGCCGCTCGCGGCGATGCGCCGTGTGGGAGGACGAAGTGGCCAGGAGCGCGCTCCTTTGAGGGCTTAGCTAGGGGTAGCGAGCTGCCCCTGTCGGCGCGAGGCGGTGCCGCGGCGGTGCGCGTGGAGCGCAGGCCAGCGAAACCTGCAATCGGCGATTGCAGGTTTGGGCCACTGCGAGCGCTCGCACGCGGTGGTGTGGTGCTCTGCTAGAGAGGTCAAATGGAACCGACTGGTGCGTCGTCTCGGCAGTGAACTCTGAAGCACCTGCGGCGTCCCACCTCGACGGATACGGATGCGGACGAGGCCTATCCCAGCCAGCAAGCAGTCCCGCTACCTCCGTGACACGTCCAGGGCCGTCGAGGCACTCGTCCTATCCGCCTGGTATGCCACCACCGGCACCGGGTTGGCGCAGCCGATTTCGCAGCTGCAGGTGCAGCTCCCGACGCTGCAGGAAGGCGCTAGCAGTCAGCAGCCGGCGATGGCGGCGCCCGTGCTCGCGGAGGTGCTGGACGCCGTCCGCAGCAACCCAAGGCCTGAGGAGCTCCGGGCGGCGATGAGCGAAGGCATCCGCCAGGCAGTCTGGAAGGTGGACGGGCTGCGCGGGCTATCGAGCCTGCTCGGGCTGGAGGAGGTGCCGGCGCGGCTCGAGACGTGGGACATCAGCCACCTGTATGGCACCCACACCGTCGGAGCCTGCTCCTCGCTCCACTTTGGTATGACGGCGCCGCCGCCACCGACCAACCGGCCGCCGCCTCGACGTGCCACGCCCGCGGAGAGGCGTCGCCGCTCCCTCGCCATAGGCGCTCGATGAGTACTGCTGCTACCCCATCCGAGGAGTGACGCCGGCGGACGACACCGGTGCCATCTCAGCGGCGCTGCGTGAGCACCTCGGCTCCTCGGCCGGCCGGCGGCCGGCCGGGCTCCTCCTCCTCGACGGCGGCAAAGGGCAGTTGTCCTCGGCGCTCGACGCCAGCTCTGATCTCGGACTCGACGAGCCGTCAGTTATCAAACCATAGGCAGCTCTCCTCGGCGCTCGACGCCCTCTCCGAGCTCGGCGTGCGGCGCGGCGTCGCGGCGCTCGCGCTCGCTAAGCGGGAGGAGGAGATCTACCTGCCCGGCGCCTCGGAGCCGCTCGTGCTGCCGCGTAGCTCCCCCACCCTCACGCTGCTTCGCCGGCAGCGCGACGAGGCGCACGCGTACGCGCTCCTCTCCCACCGGAGGCTGCGCGCCTCGGCCGAGCTCGCCTCGGTCCTCGACGGGTGCGGCCTCACCGCCGCAGAGCAGTCGGCCTTGCGCGCCTCGTTTGGCTCCGCCTCTGCCTTGCGCGCCGCGAGCGTCGACGAGCTCCGCTCAGCCCTCGGGGAGGGCTGCGCCGCCGACCCGCGCCTCGTGTCTGCGCGGCTGCGCTCGCGGCCCGAGCCGGTCGCCGTCGGGTTTCACGACTCGCTCGCCGGCTACGGGAGCGCTGTGCAGGCGCTGGCCCTGTCGTCGCGCCGGATGGGCTCGAAGGTCGAGGCGTGGGCGTCGGAGGAGCAAGCGCGCCGTTGGTGGGCGGCGCGGCGCGGCGTGTGGCTCTCGCGGCTCGAGCGCGGTGGACCCGCGGCGGAGCGAGCCGTCGACGACGTGCTCGAGGCGGTCGGCGGGCTGCTGGCGCCCGAGGCGCCGCTCGCGTCGGAGGAGGCGACGACGGCGGCGGCGTCGGCGCTGTACGGCGCCCTCGAGGCATGGGGCTCGGAGGGCGCTCTCTCGGCCGAGCTGCCGGCGAAGGAGGGCGACCTGCTGCCCGGGGTTCTGGCGGCGGGGGCGCGCCCCGAGGCGGCGGCGGTGGCGGAGGAGGAGGAGGTGTTGGTGGGCGGGCTGGGGCGGGCGAGGTTTTCGAGCGCGGTGGCGATGCCGGGCGCCTTCGAGCTGCGCGCCCCCTACCGGCCGTCGGGCGACCAGCCGTCGGCGATCGACTCGCTCGTGGCGGACGTGTGTCGGGCGTGGCGAGGAGCGGGGTCCTCCAGGAGCCTTGCGGGAGCCTTCTCGGATGTCTCCCCGCAGGTGCAGTCGGGCGTGCCGCGGGTGGTGCTCAAGGGCGCGACCGGCACCGGCAAGACGTTCGTGCTTGCCAACCTGATTGCGCGCACCAACCGGCCGACTCTCATCGTCGCGCCGAACAAGGTGCTCGCGCCGCCCCACCTCGTCTTCACGCCTTCAGCTTGACACCTGCCCGCCCTTGCGCCACCCGCCCCACCAGGTCGCTTGACACCTGCCCGCCCTTGCGCCACCCGCCCCACCAGGTGCTCGCCGCGCAGCTCTACACGGAGCTGCGCTCCTTCTTCCCGACCAACGCCGTCACCATCTTCTTCTCGCACTTTGACTTTTACCGCCCCGAGAGCTATGCACCCGTCTCGCAAAACTACGTCGAGAAGGCGTCGCAGACCAACCCCAAGATCGACGCGCTGCGGCACGAGGCGACGCGCTCTCTCTTCGAGCGGAGGGACACCATCGTCGTCGCCACCGTCAGCTGCATCTAGTGCGCGAGTGCCCCTCGCTCCCCTCGTGTGCTCCCTCCGATGCCGACGCCGCCCCCCTCCCCCCCCTCCCCTCCCGCGCACACGCAGCGGGCTCGGCATGCCCGCAGAGTACCTCGACCGCGCCACGGCGCTCTCGGTCGGGCAGCGCTGGAGGGCGGCCGATCTGCTCGCGGCGCTCCGCGAGATGCGGTACGAGAGGGCGGCGGGCAGGCAGCTCGGCCGCGGCGAGTTCCTCTGGCCGGGCGGGGCGGGCGGTACGTCGGGCGGTACGGCGGGCGGTACGGCGGGCGGCGAGGCGGGCGGGGTGGGAGGCGGGGGGGCGGGGGTGACGCTGTCGGTGCACCTGGTGCACGAGGACAGGGTCCTCGACGTGAGCATGCGCCTCGTGCCCGACGGCAGCGACGGGGCTGCCGGCGAGGGCATTGGCGGCGTTGGCGAGGGCGGCGGCGGAGGCGGCGAGGGCGGGCCAGAGCTCGAGGTTTGCGCGCTGAGGTACCGCGACGCAGCGACGGGGGGCAGCCTGCCGCCGCCCTCCGAGGCGGGCGCCGAGGCGGGTGCTGAGGCGCTCATCCAGGCGGTGCTCGAGGAGGGAGCGGACCCGCCTCGAGCCGACTCCGCCGCAGAGCCGCCGCCACCGCCACCGCCGCTGCCCGAGGCGAGAGTCCGGGCGCTCAAGGTGGCGGCGCTCAAGGAGGCGTGCGCCGAGAGGGGGCTCGCCACGGGCGGCGTCAAGGCGGCGCTCCGAGAGCGGCTCCTCTCGCACGAGGCGCTGCTCGTCGCGGCGGGCGAGGCGGGGGGCGAGGCGGGGGAGAGGGGCGACGCTGGGGCGGCCGGCGACGGGGAGGTCCCGGCCCACGTTGTGCTGTACCCAGCCAACCACTACACAGTTGGCCAGGAGGCGAGGCGGGAGCTGGGGAGGCCGGCCGGGCCGCCCGAGACGCCTCGAGCCCCGCCCCCCTGCCTCCGGCCCCGGCCCTCAGGAGCACAAGGAGCGCGTGCTGCGCGAGATCGCGGCCGAGTGCGCTTCGACGGTACGTTCCCTGCTGGCCTCGGGGCTGGTGGTGGAGGCGGAGCGGCTGCAGCTGCGCACCGAGTCGGACCTCGCCGACATTGCGCGGGAGGGCT